TACATGTATGTTAATGTACATGAGTTTTGTAAGATTAATGTAACGATGACAAAGCACTCTGCATTATGCATATGTACATTTCCTTCTTTAACACCAATCAAATATTACACAGTACCAGTATGTAATTCATCCAGTATCATTTCAGTAGCACTATTGTAATGCTCTCTTATCATAGCACTTGGGAGTTACTGGGTTAAACAAGAGAACAGCCAAGGAACTGTGCTGACATGATATCTAGATAGGGGCACATTAATTGATTAGATTATGACAACAGATGATTGCTGTAAAAATACTGTATTTGCCCACTATTTCCCAATGTCTGCAATCATTGCAACATATTTTTGTTATAATGATAAGGTACATGTATGTGTGCTCTTGTAAGGAGTGTCTAGATAACTGTGGTCTGATCCATTCATGTACATGTATGTCAACTGTACAGTGTACACCTATCACTCATATTTACATGTACCAGTACATAATGGAAGCAAACTTAAGTGATACGTGTACATTACATGCAATATTATCAATTACTTTCCCATACTTGATTGTAGAAATGTGTAGTTGTTTTTTCCCAGTGTAGGAGACAAGAGTAAGATTGTCATTACCTGTGCTATACGTACAGAAACTTATGTTTAGATCCGGGAGCAAAAAATCTGATTTTCATGCAGCTTCAACACGTCTGCATATTAAAACTGTTTTCCTTTCACAAGTCATTTTCTAACACAAGGCATGCATATGATAAGACCATTCCAGATGTCGCCACTATTACTAGGTATATATATATGTATCTGTTATTGAGTTGTTGCCGCGTCATGGGCTGTGTCATGTTTTTGAACTTAAATCTTGTTAATCTGTAATCCAGTTCTGGATGAAATGTTCAGAAAGTCTATTATCTAATTATGAGCTCTCAAGAAATGATGAAATAAGCCTTTGTTCTGTATATTTCCCCCTTCTACTTCATCATTCATGTCGCATTGTGCCAGACTTCTCGGTGCATTTCTGATGTTCAGCCAGCGTGAAGGTTCATTTCCCAGTATGTTTCAACCACTTCCGCTTTTACCTTTTCAACCCTACCCAGCAGTCTGCGAGAGCCTGAGCCTCACTGAATGCTATCAGTCAATGATGAATCGAGACTCATAATACATATACATCCTGTGGTTCGTTCATGTTGTTCAACAGCGGGGCTCATGTGTGAGGAGGGTGAGAATTTGACCGGGACTAGGAGGGCAGTGTGACTGGACCATGTTCAGTTCATGATAATAATTGAACATTTATTGGTTACTGGCATTCCTAAGCATAATGGGCAAAACCCACCTCTAGGTTGAAAGGGAAACTACACCTACACTTTCTCTGAAAAGAAAACCATAAATAACCAATCACCGTGACCCAGAAGTCTGAATATCCCACAAAAATAGCCTGAATTGAATTGGTTTTTATGCTTTTAAAGCTGTGTTAAAAAGAAAATTGGAAAGCTTATTCTTTAAACAGTTCATTGATGAGCTGTCAAGCAGAGAAAACTGTTTAGTAAATTTACATGCTAAGCAGCAAACAACTGCTAAGCAGTGAACAGCTGCAAATCAGACATAGACAGTATATATAATGAACCATTTTACTGGTGATCTGTTGTACTATAGTTGTACTGAAGCAGTTCATGCTGAGCAAATTTGTCTTCTCTCAGTCTGAGCCCAAAGTCTGAACCAACCAAGGTTAACCCTGTCTTTAACTGTTAAGGTTATTACCCCCTCCCTCCCACTAACATGAAAATAAACATTAACGACCGTCAGCATAAAACACTTTGAGAGGCAGCAGCTGATGGTTGGGCATTTGAGGGAGAGGTGATTGGGTGGGATTGGGAAATGCCAGACACCCCAAGGTCTCGTCTTTCATAAGATTTATGGGATATGAGGACACTGTCCATCCCTTCCCATCAGATGATGGATGGGAGGAATAGGCCCCTGACAGGAAATCAATGGGGATATCCCTGTTAACCTTGTCATCATCAACACTAGGGCTATGTTGAAATGCTGATTTCGCCTAATGGGGATAGAAGTTTGCAGGAAGACTGTAGAGTTCATCCAGACTCAATGCTGCATTATGTCATTGCTGGATTTTGGTTTTGGAGGAAGAAACCTGACAGTTAATCAATAAGGGATATTGCTGATTAACCTTACTATCACGTACATATTTACCACTGCTGAGAAGGGAAACTGATCGAGTGTAATTGGATGGACGTGTATAGAAAGCTTGGAAAGTTGACCAGATCTCTGATGCAAGAGAATCTTTTAGGGATTTTTGTTTCAGAGTAGAACAGACTTGATTGGGCATCAATGGGAGTATTCCCATAAACCTTGTCATGACATCCAGATATGTTTAAGTTCTCTTTACACTTTAATAAATTTGAAATTACACCGTTTGTGTTTGTATACATTATAGTTAAATGTCACAGAGGGAAATATGTATCAACTTTGAAACCCACTGATTTAATTGTGTTGAGGGAGAAAAGACTTACATGTACATGTAATACTAGCAAAAGTACAGATAAATATTTGCACAGGTTACTGGATTCATCATGTACAACAGCAATTCCACATGAATTTTTCTAATGCATGCCTGTTTGAAAAGACAAGATATAATTGCTAAATGCATGCATTGAATAATTACTTTACAATTTCTACACTACAGTAGAGAATGTTGTGCATAGATTCTATTTTGATTCGAATATTCACTGTAAGAACACTGGCAGTTTGATTTTCAACACAGCTTTATAGAATTGTATGCAAACACAGGATATTTAGTTAAGAAACAATGGCAACTTGAACGTGCTCAGCTAAATGCTATGTCCGCAATGAATTATGAGTGTGACTCACAAGTCATAACCCAGTCTCTTCACCCTGTGGTTAATGGCCACCTCCATCAACACTGTTTGGAAACTTGAAGCAGGTGTTTAGACAAAAATGAAATCAAATTCGAATTGATTTAAGAAATGGCCTCCTTGATGGAGAGAGGTCAACAGTTGACAGATCATAATATATTAAAAGGTAGGGTATTACTTATGTAAGTAACTTGCAGATGGGGATAATTCAGTCTGACAGCTTGAATTGATCTATTGGCCATGTTCTGATAACTATATTGATGAATGCTGCCACAAGTATTTATTCTGACTTGAAATTGGAAGGTCACATTGTAGTTTCACAGTTTCAGCAGGATTTAAGCCAGTGAGTTTCGTTCATAGATTTTGGAAAATTTACAGAATGTAGACTTTGAGCATATTATTTCTGAATAAAATGAAATGAAATATCATGAGAGAAAAAAGGCAACAAAGTAACCAGACTTACATTTGCAGGAAAATCCATAAACATTCAACATCAGTAACCGAGGACACTATGTAAGCATGAATCAGAATTATTAAATTCATCAGAATTAATTTTTCCCCCAATAAATATCAGTTTCAACGCATACATGACATGTTCAAGTAAGCAGAGAGTACCATTTCAACAGCAGTATTTTTTGAAGAGTCACTGTAAAAGTAAAATCCATGGACTACACAGAAATCCCAAGGCCAAAAAAGTAGCGCAGCAGACATAAAGATTGAAGCATGACATAAAAAAGACACAGTATGCACCGGGATAAGGTAGGGTAGGGTAGTACCATTTGACCACTATTTCCTGGATCTCATCTTGGGCTCATTCACCTTTTACCCCAAACCAATTTACCACTCGGCTTTGATTCAAATAAATGTATGCTCATCAGCAAAGGCCTTCATTGTAGCCAGATGTTGGAATGCTTATTTATGTTGTTCTTTGCAAATCCTCCTAGTCAAAACATATGGTACAGATAATGCTGGCAAGGCTGGGCGGGTCTCCACCCTCATAAAAAATGAGGCTTCCTTTTGCCCAATTTGTTTGGGTTACACTGCTTAGTGGTATGGGTGACTGATTGGTCAAACCAGGTGTGAAAACATTCCACAATTTGTGAGATTTTTACAAAGGATTGGTAGGGGATCAGGAGTGACTGAAAGGTCCCCCTCCCCCATGCATCCCGGCCAGAGAGGTGGCAGGAACTGGCCCAGTCAAACCAACTCATTCAGGGCATAATTTCATTGTACTTTTTATTGCTTTTGGCCGGATGGTGTGAAGTGATTGATGAATGAGATATGAGTGGTTTTATGGTGAGCCTGGCATTATCATCATCACCTGAGCTGTGGGGTGGTGGTAGTCTGTCTTGGTTCAAGCCACAACAATTTAAAGTTTGAAACCAGAAGGTCACTTGGCAGAGCCAGACAGTGATTATCATCATAGTTAACCCTAAAAGGGAGGGGGGCAACCCTAAAAGGGAGGGTCTCCTCAATGTTTTTTGGATATGCGATAGTGCCTTTTTTTTTAGGAGTTGGGCCTCTACTAGGAGTTTTAGAATAACCCTCAGCAGTCATTTTGACAAAATCAAAACTACCATTCTTGCACAGCGTGCATTTTCCAGAGACGAGTCAGACAAAATGTGTACTTTTTCCACTATGGTGCTCAATGCATGCATACTGGCATATGTGTAACCATGAACTTCAAATGACTGTAACAACAAAACCATATGTCTGATTGAGTTCAAACTTCACATTTATAATGACAAGGAACTTCTGTACATGCATGCCAAGTTTTAAAGACATGCATGCTGATTTCTTGGGGGCAGAACACCCCTCCCCCGAGATGGGCCAAGATGACCCGGTTCTTTTAAGGTTAAAGGGCCACTGTTAGAAGGCTGTCATTTTTTAGACTGAATTAATAAATCTGTTTTAGAATTTGAATAGAACAACAACATTTTCAGTAACGAATGTACTAAAACTACAGTATTGGATAAGAGAGTTCAACACATGTGATACATGAACTTAGAAAATTTACCGTGACTGATAATATACTGATAGCCAAATTTCCCATGCAACAAAGACCTTATGTTGATGTAACCAGTAGGATATGCTTGTTTCAATATTTTCTTCTCTCTTACCCTCCCAGATTGGTGTAATCTCAGAAGGGATTCAGTGCCACTGTCATTAGCCTCACTCTCTGGTGGTTCCCAGACATAAGGTGTGACTCAGGAACCCGAGCAGAGTCAAGCTATTAGCTGATTAGAAGAAGGGCCAGACATTGGAGATTGCAGAAGCTGACGAGCCAATTAAGGGTCTGCTTTAACCAGCCGAAGCTTCGATTTTCATTTGGCTGTGTGATTACCTCCATCCTTTGCTCCTCGTGATTGTTGTGTCAGAGCTGATCTCAAGCTGTTCCTGTTCCTCTTCTTGTGCCTTCCTGCTCAGCAGACAGTGACTGATGGTTCCATGCATTGGAGATGAGACTGGGTAAGTATGGAGTGATTTCACAGCTTTAAGTTTGTAGTGGATTGTGAAGGCCATGAGTTAGAGCCAGAATTAGTGATAGTTTAAGAACTAATTGGGCTTTGTACACTGACATAGTATTATGCTGATTTTCAATCTAGCCACGTAACAGTTTGCATGTACATGAGTCACGCATTGCATTGCATTGTCTGTGCTTGAGGGCTTGATAGTTTGAAGGCCTTATCTCTTCTTATCATCCACACTTAATTCTTTATACTGAACCACAAAGGGAAAGTGATAAGGTTCAATTTTTAGCTTAGACAGTGAAACCAGTGGATCGAAATTGAAGGGAAAGATTTTTGTTCTATTGAGACTGCAACAAAGCTGACAGCTATGTGTACCTTTAACAATCTTTCATTTTAATTTAAAACAATCAAGTTAATGGTTTTTTAACTAAGGAGGAATTAAGTTTTATAAGATGTTACATGTTTATGTGATTTCCTTGTTTCTTGAAGCCATCCTTAATATTTGAACAAAGTCCACTCTTTACCAACCAACCGTGCTGAGTTTCTGAGATGTGTTTAATTTTTCAAATGTTGTAGAGACTTGAAAGACAGATGTGCATTTCATTTTCTTACACACAGTAATTCATTCCCTTTTTGTCAACTTACATCTAGTTTTCATGAACGTCATGGAGTTAGAGTGTTGTTAGCTAAGATGAAAAATTATTAAATGTCGCCCAGATCAAACATACAAGTTTGACCAACATTATGTGAACTTAGAAGGATAAAAAAAGACTAGAATTTTGTATGTTGTGATGGAGCAGTATCATGTTGCACTGGGCCATGCAAGTAATTTAAACAGATGACTGTGTGAAAGAACAGATGGCAGTTACTCTGTGTACACTGGGCACACAATAAAGGTTCCAGGAATATGCTTTGGCCGGTACAGCCGATAATGAAATGGTTTTATTTAATTTTTTTTTTTTCAATTTTCAGAGCATCTTTATTTCAATCAACCTTCCGACTTTGCCCTGTGGTGTGACTGCTGATGCATAAGTTTTGCTAGTGTGTTCTCTGCAAGCAGTCAGAAGTGATCTGACATCAGGTGAATGACCTCCACTCGACCCAGGTGAGAGAGAAGCCCTGGATATTGATCAGTCTGGTCAGGTAGTTTGAATGAAGTGAATGAAGGAGAGGAGGGTGAGAATAACGGGACTGAAAGCTGGGGATTAAGACAGGCAGAAAATTTAAGCTCTGCTGAAGTGTGGCCATTTGAATGACAGTGGGGTATGAACTGAAGAGGAGTGGGTTGAAGTTATGCTTTAGCCATTTATATGAATGGAGTGGAATGACATTTTGACTGGTTGCACTTGCAGTCTCTGAGCTACTGAGAATATACATGTATACTCTTGCATGCCATCAACTTGTACAGTAAGTTGGAAAGCATGTGGAACCATGCTACAGCCGTTTGGCCAAGATTCTCAACAGATTATGAAAGCCATTTCTCTGCATTTCTGCTTCAGAAAATCCCAGATTTGATCATTGTTTCTAATTCTAGTGCCTTTTAACTACAACTTCATAGATATAAGAACCTTCCAATCTTTGCATATTTATCAAACATGTTTCTTCAGCAGTCTTTTGTACACATACTTGTAATCTGTTGTACCTATTTAGCCAGTTTCTGCTGAATGGGTGGCCACAGGCAACACTCAGGTGGGCACTAAGTCAGGATTCACACAAGTTTGAGAAAGTCGCATAAATGTTTATACACCATTGTTTGCGAAATCCAGATTACAAAAGAAAACCACTTGTTATGCTTTGCATCATTTGAACCCATTCACCATGACCTATTTCCATCCTGGAAAAATGCAAACTAGGTACTGTTTGACACATTTACTTAGAAGGAAATGGAGTGACACATTAATGGCTTGTGTTGCCACCCTGCACCCTGTACATGTAACATCAGGGACAGCAGCTAGACAGGTGACATTTGTCTATTTATGAAAGAGCTGTCATTACCATTTTAGCGATGGGGGTGGTCATGTCTGTTTCCTTGGGCCCAGTACTCCTATTCTTCTATTGTTGTAATGCTTTGCCCCCTCCCCCCATTAGTTGTGTCTGTGAAGCTAGCTCTGACAAGATAAATTGATTCCTTGAACGTTTTGTTCAGTCAAACCAGCACATCTGTACTGTATATCATGAACATAAAGTGGAAGGCAGAATCAACCTGTTTTAAAACAGTTTTGTCACATGTATTTTATTGAGATCAGAATATCCAAGGGCAAAAATCCAAAATTAATTGAGATCAGTATAAGTTTCAAATTTTTTACAGCTTTCATTCACTTTCATGTATTTTGTTGAAATCAGTTTTAAATGTGATGGCTATTTCTATGTATCTGCATACACAAATTCAGCTAATTCCTTGAAAGATTCTTTTTTCTTTGTCCTTTGAATAAAAACATATACTAGGGTTACATACTGTTAACTGTGTACGGCAAATATATGTACAGCAAATATAGGAGGAATTGACTCTAAAGCAATGAAATTGAAGCCACAATGGACATTTCACTCTGGAGATATACTGGCATGGAAAGATGAAACATTTGCCAGGGAAAACATCCCTGCATCCTTTGAACCATCTACAGTGCACAACCAGATTAAAGTACAGTCATTGAGATCCTGTATATTTTACATTTACCAATGGTGCTGTTTCCAAGTCACCAAAGGATAAAACCCCTGGACTTTTATTTCAATCCCTAATCATGAGATTAATTACCATTGTGTAGGACAGGCCTGAAGGTGTTGTCTGTGCCCCTTAATCCTGTCAGAGGAGGGCTTTTATCCCTTACCAGTGATTCATCCCTTCTGTTTGGGAGATAATCCAGATCACCTTTTCAGAAAGAAAAGATCACCTTTTCAGAAAGAAAAGGTCACAGGACAAACACCTTAGTCCAAATCAGTGTGGAGGGTCAGCAAAATCTAAAAGCAAAGTAACTGTGGACCATACAGTTGTTACTGGGAAAAATTCTTCACAGAAAAAGGATGCCCATGTCTGCCCCTATAACCTTTTGCCAAATTAACACCAAGCCGCTTAGCATTTTTAAATGCTTTAAATAAGGAGATAAGAGTTTTCCAAGTGGTATATCCCAGGTCTTGGATGGGGGGAGGGGCAAAATATAAGTTTTCCCATAAATACCTGTCCAATTTTTTTTCACCTGTATAACAATCCTCACCCCCCCCCTCTTTTAAAATAATTCAGAGTCATAAATTTTCTTTCCAGTATTGGGCCAGGATTAAATAATGTTTATATCAATATATGGAGGGAAGAAGGTCCAGTGGGGATTGATAAGAAAGTCCAGTGGGGATTGATAAGAAACTTGAGATTTGTTTTGGCCCATTAAACCAGCTTTGCTTGGTCAACACATCACTGCTGTGAGTGACCTGGCCACCAAATCTGCAGGTGTTTGTCCCACAAAAATCCAACCACCTCAGGTGACCCAGGGACATTATAGTGCAACATGATACTGTGTAATGTTTCAGATAATGGCAATGAACTTCATGAACCAGACAGCTATGACAAACAAAATTTATTGCACGTTTCAGTTTGAAATATAGAGGTTAAAACAGCACCAGCTAGGTTTGGGGGGACAAAGGGTTGAAGATGCACATTCCCCGACATTTGGAAAAGTACTTGAGGTAAAGCGGTATTAAGCCTTGTTTTGTATTTATAGCCGCTAGGTAACTTAATCACAAAATCCACCCTTACTCTGGCATATTAAATTAAAATTGCTGTAACATGTGGAGAGGCCCAGAGTAAGGAAGTGAATTGGGGTTATTTGAAGACAGAGTAGCTATTCAGTGAAAAAAGTAGGTCAAGAGTCATCTTCAAAAAGGCTTACAAGTACATTTCTCTTTTTTTTCCCAGAGCCTTATCTTGGATTATAGATGTACATTTGCATGTTTTGCAACTACACAAGCAGTATATCCAGCATTGCAATTTTTTAAATGGACTGTTGATAAAACCTAATTGCTCTTAATGAAAGGTAAAGTGCCTGGAAACAATGTTTGTGTAAAGACAGTGGGAAAAAAGTTAGGTGTGGATTCACATGTAAGGTTATACAAAAGAGTTCACACTACCTTAATTGTATTCTGACCCCTCAGAAAAGGGTGACAGAAGCAAAAAATCTCAAAATTGGAAACTTGTGAAATACACTTTTGTTTGTAAATGAGCTTGATATTGACATTTTTAGCATTTTTAGTGTTCCAAGTAATTTTTGCAAGTTCAAGAACTTCTTTACAACTATTCAAAGCAAGAAAATATCCTGAATGTATCAAATTTTGATATTTGTGCCACCAAGGAAGTCGCATTTTGGGGCTGATTGCCTGAGGGAACCTTTCCTTGGTGATCCAGGTCTGTGCTGCATGATCTAAACAAACAAGGAAAGGCATGAGACTGAGAGTTGGCAATGGAGGAAAACTTCAGGCTGGATTTACCTGTGTTAGTTTTGCCTGCGATGAAGTGTTTGAATCGCAGACAAGAGCCTACAGGCCAGTAATCCCCAACAGAAAGAATGTTACACATTCAGTGGAGTTACACATGTTCTTTTTCTGGTCTTGTTGACCTCAAAATGTTGGGAGTCAATCCATGCTTGAGGGGCCCTTTGGTCCTGCCATTCTTGATCTTGAGCATGGATTATTATTGTCTTGGCAGGACCCGTTAAACTTCAAGTGTGCATGCATTTATTTAGGGGGCATGTCAACTGATACTGCAGATGTACATGTAGGCCTACATGTATGGTTGGATTAGGCCTGTGGTAGTGGACAACAATTTTTCTTGTATACTGAGCAACGCAAAGGCATTTGCCTGAAGAATGTGTTAGAGACCAGAGTAGTGTGTTCTGCTGAATGAAAAGTGTTTGCCCCAAATACATTGTGCATACAGCATGCTTTCATCAGTTCAAACTTGTATTTAAAGTAACTGAATTAAATAATTGACAGGTGGTCAAAATATTGAAAATCACATGTAAATGTACAAGAAAAATGGCAAATGTGTACTTGAAACACCATTGGGCCCATTTACAGTTTATCTGGAACTTGTCCCTTTTTCCTGCATTGCTCTGTTACAGCTGTGGCAGCTGTAATGTAACCATAATTACATACATGTATGTCATTTAGTGCTATACAGAACATTCTCAGGTGCATTACTACTGGTAGATGGCCAGCCTTTACACCGTGCCCATGTACCACCTTGTCTACCAAACAGGGATGCCCCCCTCCATGAACTCTTCAGAATGCTTCCAATGTCATGTTGTCCCAAAGCCCTACCAGACAACAATGAAACTGTAGCCCAACATTCTGTCCCGAATGTGCAGGTTATCGGTGAATAAACACTGGCACATAACAATAGGGTCTGATCGACCTGTCTGGCTGTGTAGCCAGCCAGATTCTGGTCTGAATGGATGTATGCACATAATCCAGGAACGATATGGAGACAGCTTCCTCTATCTGTCCTTCAGTGTGGTTGATGGATGGGACTTTTGAAAGGCAGGGATTAGGAACTCTGTATGGGTAAATGTGGACAGGAACCCTTGGGTGACACACTCAAGAGTCACTATGCATATAAATCGTTCCTTTTATGTTTAAAAACAAAAATAATGGAGGGAAACAAGTTCAATTTTGGGGGGCATTAGTTATTCTCTATTTGGAATCTGAGTAGGCCAACAAAGCATCTGCAATCCTGTACGTTTAACGATAACAGACATGATGATGTATTCTGATGCACAATGAAATATATTATTCATGTAGCGAAGTCGTAGCTTCTTACCTAGTTCCTATTAAAAGACATGGTTTCCAAAAAGAGCTTCCGCACATCTTGTGTGTTGGGTTACTTATGGGATGTGAAAATGCCCAATTAGTTCCTTTTTACACTGCTGTACAATTTTGCACTGCTGGTTCTTCTAGCATTACATTCAAACAAAACAGCAACAGCGGGTGTCTTTATCCTGGTTGATTGAATCATGATTGAATCCTACCAGCCTTTTCAGCCATTGTATAGCTCATGTGTTTGGATGATCAGACAGGTTAAAGAGCAAGGACTGAACCACATAGACAACGTCATTTATTTTATTGCCCTGTGATTAAGCTTTAAATGGACTCCGCCCCTGACATTGCCATACCCCCTCTATGTACATAGTGTGTATTGTATTCGCTTATGCATTGATCTACCATTAGAAGCAGTGTGCACACAAACAGCAAAGTCCAATAGGCAAATGACCTGACAGCTCCTTGGTCAGGGCCACAGCCTCTGTGGATTGAGCTCTTGTATAAACAGTGCCCTCTTTGCTCACACCATTGTAAGGCCCAGCACAATGCAGGCTTGCAGTTTCATTCAATCCCTGTGTTTGCTTGCATCAAAACACCAGTATCTTTGCTTGGACTGCTGCACTTGGACCATTCGCCCGTTTTGGACGCCTGCAGATTTTAAAAAACGGGCTAGTTTTGTTTGATTTATTTCAATCGTATCGGTAGATTCAATGCCTTGCACCAGGATACATAGCCGACTGAACCAATGAGTTGACTTGGCTACAAATTGTTCTTGAGGTAAGTTCTGAAAATATATCAAGTTTGGATTCAAATTCAAAGCAACAAGATTTAAATGCTGGAAATTATTTTAATTATGTTAACTTAAAATTAATGCACTGTTAAGACAACTTACATTAAACCATATGTGATTGTTGCATCAATGATGGCAATTTTGAGATATGAGATATGGAATCTCTTCTGAGGTGTAAAATTGTTTACACTGACCTACATTTCCCCCCAGAGAATTTAAAAAAAAAACAAAACCCTGGCCCAGTATGATATGAAATACAATACATCTAGGGCAGTCACTTTTCCAAAAATGGCCAGCCAGTCTGCTTCTATGTGGATTGCATTCTCCAAATGGTAAACATTTTCGGGGAGGATGTGATTGCTTTTCCTTTTTGTTTTCCCGGGGGAGTTATCTGAAAGCAGATTAGCAGGATTGAAGACACACAAGCAGCAAGCTGATTGAATCATTGGGAGCACTAATGAAACAAATTGGGATAAATATCAATGTTAGAAAAATCAGTTTCTTTGTTTTGTCAGGTTTGAAAATGTCAGAGAATGAAGCGTTGAAATCGTGTATTATATGAAAAGCCACCATTATTCAGTTTTACCAGCATGTCAAAATAATATAATACCTGATATGGAAAAAAAAGAGTCTGGAGCAATTTAATAGTTAAATGTATTCTTGCACTTTCTTTGTTCTGTGATTACTGGTTGG